TCCAAAATATGCCTTTAGTCATCCAGAATTCTCCTTCAAATCAAACTCCTAATTATTACTGAAATTTGATCTTCATTCATATTAGAACTTTACAAACCCAGATACCTTAGATTTCCTCCAATCAACCAATTACCAAATCAAATGAAATTTGGATCACACTACAACAATGTGTATACATTTGGATTTGTTCTATTGACAGCACAAGTTGAAAGAACAAATTTTCAAACCAAAATCGTACGTCACACAACTACTTGAGCTACTAAAATGAATACTTCGGCGGTGTGATTGATCGAGTGTTGGAAAACTATTTAGAAGTGTAAATTCCGTGCTTGTTGAATATTATGTGGATCGTGTTTGTCTAACAGGTCGAAAAACTTGGGTGTCTTGTCACAATTACTCGTCCTAAAAAAAAAAGGCAGTACACAATATTGGTGCTAGTGTGGAAAGCAAATGTTTCCAATAGTAAGAAACTTTAAAGAAGAAATAGGCTTGATGTTGTAGAAATAATTCATTCTTCCATAAGAGTTTAAATACAATATTCTATTCTTAAATTAAAGAGCACATTTTTGGTCCATATCATCCTTAAAACATAAATAAAATAAAAACTGTTAAAACACTTTCTTCATCCAGATGCATCATTGGACTTCAAGATCTGAATCCTCTTCTTTACTTGGGCTAATTTGGCATCGATCATTCTTAGCAATTCTTGTTTCGTAGGTTTCTCCTTCTCCGAGACAACACTGACATTTTCCTTGTTTATAACGTTATCACCATCGAGTTCTTGAGGCTGTCCCTTTTCCAGACCGCAGTTTTTGTACGTTTGGATCACCTCCCGCACATCGTTATGATTTTCCGGCCATGTGTCGATCGTCCCATCAGGCCCAACGATAACAGCGCAAGCCTTGACGTCGCAAATTTCTGAGAGTTCCTTCGTCATCTTCTTGATGGATTCTTTCTGCTTCTTGAAGCTTTTTCTCTCGGCCCTCAACGGAGATTTATCCTTCTTGTTTGTTGCATTCTCCATGTTTTCTTTTGTGGAGAGAAATTCTTAAAGGTATTTCTTGAATTGAGATGCTAATCGATTTGGGAATTTCAATTTATAGGGGAATTGATTGCGTGATTTGAAAGGATTCAAAATTGTCACGTCTTCTGTTTAAGGCGGTTAACGGCTCTAATGTTTCTAGCCGTTTTAAACGGCGTCGTATTGGATACAGTTATATTCAAATTTCAAAAGTTTGTGCCGTTTAGTTGCACATACTGCAGATTGATTTAAACGACGTCGTACCAGATATTGGTATATGGGTTATATTTCACTTTTTGTTAACTTATTTGAAATAAGCTTTTTAGGTTTTCAATTATTATCCGTGGTTTAGTTTTCTAAGTAGTCGATTCAGATGCCTCATTAAGGGTTTCGCGTGAAATAAAGGACTTCAGAATTACAAGGGTATGCCTTTTTGCCCCCAAATAAGCATACTCTGATAAAATCGACATATAGAAATAAATATTCCAAACATTTGATTAGGGAATCACTATTTATACCCAACATTTTATATATCTATCTCTCTACCCATCCCTATTAAAATTTTAAATAAATAATATTTTCATTTACGTCACATTCTAATATTGTCCTTATTTTTATTCTTTTAAACACTATACATTCAGATCATTTATATATATAGCTATCTACGTCATTTTTATATATTTATCCCACTATTTTTGTATATCTATCACATCATATTTCATTCATAATCCTTTCATATTTTCAATCATTATCATCCATATGCACTGTCAAATTTCATTATTTGTTTTGATAATCTCGGTAAATTAGCCACCATTGTTTTGAATTCAATAAAATGAAAAGATAATCACAATAGAAAACACAAATTCTTGTTTTGATAATTCTAACATAATATATAGCCATCAATGTTTTCAGTTTAAGAAAATCAATAAAAGAAAAGATAATCCCAACAGAAAACTCAAATAATTTGGAATGAAATTTCTTGTTGATACTACTTGAATTCAAAAGGCATATTATCAAATA